GCCAACATAAGTTCAGATGCAGTATATGGCATTTTACTATATAATTTCAGTATATCCAGTGCAATTAATTATAAAAATTCAGTTCTGCACCACTTAGTTCGATATAATGAGTTTTCAGTATAAACAGGTTCGTTATAACCAGTGGTAACTGTATTTTAGTATCTAGAAAGGCAACTAAATAGGCGTGAATTCTTAATAAAGAACTAGTATCTAAACTAGCATAGAGGGTCAACACCCTTATTATAAAATCAGGTATTCAAAGAAAACTGGAAAGTCAAAACTATCAATATAAATTTTATTATGTAAATAGATTAGGAACAAGAAGAAAGCGGTTACTATTAGATTATGATATCACCATTAAATTAAAACATTACCAGCTACCATTAGACTATGAAGTTATTATCATATTATGCAGGAAACAGTTGAAATAATGCTATAAACGCAAAGAAACTACCCATAAGTAGGTTATGAAGTCACTATCAGATTATAAATAATAGATTATAAAGTTACCACCAGATCATGAAATTAGATTATAATATCACTACTATATTATGAAGTTACTTTTATATTATGAAGTTACTAACAGATTATAAAGTTACTAACAAATGATGAAGTTACTATTATATTATGAAGTTACCAGTAGATTATGACGTTACCTTTATAACCTAGACCAAGTCATATGTGACTTTATAATATAATTATATTATAAAGTCACATGTGACTAATATAATAAGAATTTAAAAATAGAATTGTAGAAGAAATTATTAATAAATATACATTATATTGTTAAATACTAAATATTAAAAATAATAAATATATAATTTTTAAAACAATTATTACTATATAAATATATCTAATTTTAAGTTTTAATAATTATAAACATATTAATTAAACACTTAATAAATTAAAATTTATAAAAAATATTAGATTAAAGATTTTGATTAAATTTTAATATTATTGTCTAAAGCAAAGCATAAGATATTATACTTTTAAAAAATAGTGGAAAAAATTTATAATCACGTGAGTATTTTTGGTTATCACGTTATGTGTATAATAGATCAGTAAATAAAAAATAAAAATAAAAATAAAATAATAAAAATTAAAATTCATTTATTAATTTTAAATAAAATATTTTGTTTCAAACTTAAAATGGTTTCTGTTTTCTAGTATATTTATATTAAATTAGATTAAATAAATATATATTTAATTAAATTATTATTTAATTACAATTTTTTAAACTTATAAATAGTAAAAAAATTATCTATAAAATGTTTTAATATTTATTAATATTGATTAAATAACTTCTATATTTATTAATGCTTCTATTATTATTAATGATATTTTATTATACTCCTTTTTATATTATTATATTTAATATCAAATACATTATCAAAAAATTTTTTTTTTATACATATAAATTATTTTGAAGATAATAATAAATTTAGGTTTTGTAATTTATTATATAATAAACGTTTTAAATCATAGTAAAAGTATTTAACAAGTCATGTTATGCATCTTTTTTTTTTAAAAGTATTCAAGGAACAGAAAATGATTATTTGTTACATGGTTAATTTGTAAACATGGTTGTTTTACAACCCTAAAATAACCTATTAAATAGGATTTACACATAACCAATTGCGTGACAAAATTTAGTAAATTATAAAGTCACTCGGGCATTGTAAAACCTTTCTGGTAATTTTGGTGGAAAATGTCAACATAATAATGATAGGCAAATTTTCTATTTGGTGAAACAATGTGATCAACGACTTTATGTTGTCCGGGCTCGTGTTTTTGCACAATGTTTGAATGATTAAATTTCTTTAAAAGCTAAGCTGTAAATAGATATTTTCATGAGGGCTTAGGTCGATTAGATGAAATCCTTTTAGATAATCTAAATGTTAAATTTCATGTGCCACTCATAATTCTTAATAAAAGCAGAGGTTTTTGGCTCTCGTAAACACTTTTTTCTGTAACGATCATTGAATTAATCGTAAAAAAAAAAATAAAAAAAAAAAAAATAATTTTACAAGATGGATTCCTTTAATCTGCCAAGTCACGGTAAGAAGACTTCTCCTGTCCTGGGAAAACTTCAATCATTTGAGTATGTTTCTAATTATTATTTATTTTAAAAAAATATCCTAATACACTCTTTTTGAAAAATCCTTTTATATAAAAAAACACTCTCTTCATCGACAATAATAGAGATAAATCTGGTGCACGAATTGATGTTATTCTAAACATTGTTGGAGATCCCGATCAACGTGAGAAGGCATTAACCTTGATCAAAGAAGCTGCTGAAAATGCTTCTTTTATCCCGAGATATGGAAACTTCATATTACCCGAATCGAACCTAAATACAAAATTCGAATTTGTCAGATTTGATGAACTCGATCGATATTTCATTAAACTGGAAAAAAGTAAGGAAGGTGAACTCGAAAGAAAGTTAGATGAACTTCAGATAGCACAAACCAACACTCCCCTTTCACATTTTACAAGTATTGATAATTTAACTTCCTGCCTGAATCAATTATTATCGAAACCTTCTAATAACGATAAATATATATTGAAACCCAGAATATTTTTTGGAAAGTGTTTATTCTTTGAAATCAAAAATCCCGAAAAACCATTTACTTTACAAGAATGGCTTAATTTTCAACTGTTGCCAAGAACCCGTCGTATGGATAACGATAGGATTGGTAGTTCTGAGTTTAATCAAGATGTTCCAACGTTCCTGGAAAATTTCGAAAAACTTCGATACAATTTTGAATTTAAAGAAGACGAGAAGAGGGTTGCAAAAGGAGATGTTCAAGGGACATCCTACATATATTATGATGTCGAATCTAATGTGAAAAGAAAATTGAAGTTAAGATGGAATGTAGACGAGAAAAAATGGGAAATAAGCAAACACATTCGTAATTATAATCGTCTTGGTGAGGATTGATTTGATTCGACATTTGATTTGATTTTTTTTTTTTTTTTTTTTTTTTTTATTATTAAAAAATATTTCAATTTTGTCATCTTTTTAATTTAATTTAGCAAATTTCGATTTTATATCCGGGTCCAAAACACCTGACTTCAGGTTGTCCGCTAAAACACATTTCGAGATCTTACCAAAAAATTTCCAGACGGAATGGTTTGAAAATATCCAAACTGATATACCTGGGTTGTGGTATAAAAAAATTGATAAAAATATTAAAAATGTTGTCGTACGACAGGTCATAGAAAAAAGACGTTTTAGGTACCATTTTTTTCTTTTTCCTTTTAAATTATTTCTAAAAATCACCTTTAATCTTTTCTCTCTTTTCTCTCGTTTATTAATAATTAAAGCAATAAATGTTACAAATTAACGTTTTCAACCATCAGACAAGAGAATAAAATGGGAACTGTGAATCAAAAATTTATAACTTTGAAACATCATTCGTGGAGTCAAGACGAAATTGATTTGAATAACAATGAGCATTTCAATAATGTTGTTAACGCAATACATTTCGCGAAAGAAATCTTGAGTCAAATGTAAAAAATTAAATTGATTGTTGAATGTCTTTTATTTGTCTTTTAATAAATGATTAGAATGAATGTTACTTTAAAGAAAACTTTTCAAATATTAATCCAATATTCAAAATCGACGTTCGATATTTACCCAATATATTCAATTCTATATATGGAACACGATGGAGATTTTCTTACTATCCATCGGATCCCATCACAATGTATGCGGGTCAGCGTATGCGGGGGTCATGGATTTTCAAAACAAAGAAATGCGGAAACCTATCAAAAAAGGAAAGTTGGGCTCATCTTTTTATAGAACAAGATCGAGATTTTAAAGAATTTGTGTGAACTATCTAAGCCTTATTAAGCCCAATACAAAATAACAAACTTAATAAATATGACTCCTTTTTCGAAACATTTTTCTTTTTATCAAAATAAAAAAAAAATTACACATAGGAAAACAAAAATTTAATATTTTTTAAAAATCCGAAAACAATTTATTATGAACTTCGATACATTTAATGAATTTCAAATTAATAAAATTTCTACACATTTTTAAAGAAAAGAAGTTAAAAATCTAAATTTTGCAACAAAATGGACATTATTATTACATTATTCCTTCTCGAGAAATTCACCTCAACAATTATCATTATCTATCCCGATATTGAATATTTATGACATGAATCTAATTCCGATTAAATGAAGAAGAACACTAACTTCGACGATGGTGGACTTTCAGATGGAATAGTAAAAAGAAAAAAGACTATTCAAAAAGGGAGCGATTTCTTGATGAAATCGCGAAGAACCGCGAAGAAATTTCACTATCATTGAAATTTCTTCAATGATTTAAAAACGGCTACTAATTATACGGAAATTTCTGTCGTAGTAGATGGGGGGGGGGGGAATGAAGGAACTTCATGGTGGGCAGAAATTAGATAATTTTGAAAAAGATTTGTTATTAAAAAATTATAATTTTCTCTTTATTCGTTATAGTGTAGTGTCATATTATTTTTACTGTTTTAAAATTTTCTAAAGTATTTTCTTCTTAAACGTAAATAATAAACTTAATCACAACTTTGGTTCTTTTGCATCTTTGTTTTAAAATATTTTCCAAAAAATTATTAAATATCATTCATATGGAGAGATAAATCCCAGAAATCAACGATCTTCTGGTTCCTTTTGCATCTTCGAACTTATCTTTTTGAAAATTAACGTTAATATTCATTTTCAGGCATATTTAGGGATAAAAGGAATTAATGTTATAAAAAAGATTCGTTTTGAAAGTTTGAAAGTTTTGTTTATATTTTTAGAAATAGATTGTTTTGGAATTAACATTTGCGAAGTGGACATTTTTTGAGATTCGATGTTAGTTTTTGATTAATATTCATATATATATGACGAAAAAGATATCAGAATACCTTTTTTTTTTTTTTTACTGATAAACCAAATAAAAAAAATTTTTTTTCACGTTTTAGTCAAAGAAGATTTTATTTGCTTTGCCGCCCAAAAACAATCTCCATACACCAAAAATATTGTCCACTCATTTCTTCTTTTAGAAGTTCATTGAATTTTATTTAATATCTCCCCGAAAAAACATTCCAAGTTCTAGACACTTTCATGTTTTATGTTTACTTTGCCACCAAAACAATCTTAATGCACCGATGATATATTTTGATATTGTTCAGGATTAAGAATGATAATCCTCGAAATACCAAATTTGTTTAAAACATGTAAAGATGTGTAAAACTTTTTTTTTGTTTTTGAAACAGAAGTTCTGTAAAGCAAACCAAAAATGTTTTCATTTCGCACAAAGACAAAAAAATTTTCACACGATTTGTTTAAATTACAAAATATTTTTGGGTGTTTTCATATGAAATGGTCATTGATTAGAATCTTTTTCACGTATTATCTAACTTTCTTGTGACCTTTTTGCTTTTGCCAAAGTTACTAAATTTGTTAAAGCGCGTTATGTAACGAGACATAATCATGGGAATCAAAAAAAGGCATATATATACAATCACAATTTAAGGTTATGCCAATGCATGCCCTACGAAAAAGAGATGTCAGGATGTTTTGTAATCATGTTTCGGAACATGTCCCGGACATTTCTATGGGATTAATTCCGAAAATTGTCTCTCTCTTTTTTTTTATCATGTTACAAACTGGATTTTTCATGAGAATGATGCAATTGCATTACCTTTTTGGTAAAGCAAATGTCATATATCCTTGCACAGAAAATTATTGTTGGACATAAATGATCATGAGAACGTTGCATACATATTTAACATATTTAATTTTATTGAAGTTGTTTATACAGGTATTAAAAAAATACTGTATATATGATCTAATGGTAGGCGCTTGAATGACAAAAAAAAAATGAAAAAGAAAAAGAAAACAAAAAATTACAGTTTTTTTTTAAAAAAAAAAAAGTAATATAATTAAACAACTTCATCATTAATTCGTTGGGATTTCCAACAAATCCTAATGATTTTAGATTTTGGCAAATATTTCGCCTAAATCTAAAATCATTAGGGTTTTGTTGTCAAATTACCAAATTATTCCTTCTGGGATATTATATTCACCGTGATTTTAGTAGATAGAAGAAGTACCACTAGTTAGTAATCCCCTTCTTTTTTTGATGTGTATTTCTTCAATTTCTTTATCGTTCATTGCGTATTCGTTTATGTATGCATTTTGTAATCTTTTTTAATCGCAATTCTATCATTTGATGTATTTAAAGTAAATGTTATTTTATTTATTATTTTTTTTCAACGAGAATTGCTTGACAATTCGAATGTTTTGTTCGTTTTGAATACAATTAAATTGAATAGTTAAATTTAAGATATACAATGATATTTAATTTATTCAACTAAAAAAATCGAAATGACGCGCTAATCTCTTTCCTCTTAATATTTTCCGGGGCATCTAAAGCAATATTTGGGAACAAAATTATTAAAAAAAAATATCACACTACGTCCTATGGATTCGCTTCCTCAAGAGAATTAATTCAATTAGGTTACCGTCGTTAGAATATTATAAATTATTGATATATTGTACACCGATAGGATCACGTGAAAGTCATTTAAAAAATTTTTGTTTTCGAAAATTAGAAAGTCAAAAGTCATTATTGAGTTTGTTTTACCGCAGCACCAATAATACGCGTGATTTATAACACCGGTCATGATGATAATATTTATTTGAAATTTTTATAATTTTTAACACGCGTTGTGTTTAAAATACGAAATCATTTAAATGCATTGGAGGTTAAACCTTATATAGCTGTACGTTGGCGGGATGAATCGTTGATTTCAAATGATAACCCATCTCGGGAAGAATATACGCTCAAAGAATTAGCCTGTCGAATCATAGCTTTTCCTTTTTCAACATCATGCGCGCAACCATATCTTCCATACTTTGTAATCATTCCTAAATCTTTCAACGCGGAAGGGTAATTTTGTTTTGCAGCCTTACGTAAATATTCGATTGCAATTTTATAATGCTCCCTACTATGTTCTTCAGCTGATACCCTATAATTTAATATTGCATATGCGTACCAATATTGAGCGTCAAGTTGACCATCATTTGCTGCTTTAGATAAATATTTAATACTTGCTCTTGCATTTGGTTTCCGATTACGTCCTTTATAAAAACCTCTTAGATAATAATATCCGACCCAAAACCTTACTTCTGGAGTCTCGGTTACCTTCTCAATTTCTTTAAAGATCTTCCATGCCTTTTTATATTGTCTTTCTTGATGTAATTTAATTGCTTTTTCAAAATCTAAATCAACAAGGAAAGGATTTAATTTTTTCAATCCCTTGCGTTTGCTCAATTCTGCGCGAAAAGTTAATCCGGCCGATGAGATATATTCAATTGAATTATCTGTATGTATTGACGTGGCATCATCATCTTTATTATTATTATTGTTGCCGCTGTTGACGTTTTCTTCGTCACCTATTTTAGGTACGGTACGACCAAGAAATTCCGCGGAATCCAATTCGTTTAACGTCTTAAGCATTTCTTCAATGGTTGGACGTTGTTTAGGATCTAGGTCCCACGCTTTTTCCATCATTTTTTGATATGCGACTGGTGTACCTTTAGTCGATACTGGTTGAGGACGTGCTCCAGCGAGAACTAATGATTTGAGATCACCTAGAGCTTTCTCTTCAAATGGAGTTTTCTGACTCGCTATTTCCCATAATACGATGGCAAAGCTATTCATGATAATTATAACAATTTTTTTTTTTTTTTAAAAAAAAAAAAAAAGGACGTTAGTAGTCTTGATAATTCCTTTTGTTCTATTATTATTCATAAAATGATAGTTACCTATAAATTTCGCTATGTCGTGTATAGGCTCGCTGTTGAAAATGTTCTGGAGGGGCCCATCTGGGATCTCGTTGCTCATTTATCGATTTTAATGCGATCGGAGAATCAGACTCGAATCTGAATCCGTAGAGTTTGGCTTGGAATTCCGAGTCCAGGTAGATGTTATCGCTAATAAATAAAATAAAATAAAAATAATATGTTAATTCATAATTCGAAATGATAATTCAAATTATTGAATTAATATGTAATATACTGTACCTTGTAATATCATAATGCAAGATTTTTTTTTTATGAATATAGTTTAGCCCGTTGGCGATTCCTCGTGCAATTGGCAATTTTTGAGCCCATTCCAAATTTATATGTTCAGACAGGTAGTCTTGAAGTTTGTATTCGCCCCATCGTGAAATTACGCTATATTCCGTAGTTCGACGTATTATTCCATAACTAATCATAAAAATAAATAATAATAATAAAATTTATAAAGTGTTTCTTGAAAAAAAAAAAAAAAAAGAAAATTCACTTCCAACTATGCTTACACTTTAAGAATATTTTCGCAATCACTAATCTCCTTTATAAAACTAATTTCTTTTTTCAATTCAAGAAGTTTTGGATCATCTCTTTCAAATTTTCCAACAAACTTTACAGCAACGGAATGATGATAAGCATACGTTCCCTTTTTAATATGATTTTTATTACCCATAA